CCCAACCCCAAGGACAGTCCCATTCTACAACAGTGGCATCATGTAATATTTGTCCTTTTAGAAAACCCATTTTAAAATATGTTTAAGAATTATTTTGTTGTTGTATGCCATCGAGTCAGAACTGACTCTTAGCTGACCCTCCAGCACGTTTTCAGAGGCAGTAAATTGAAGGGGAGGAGATTGCCCATCCTTCTCGGTCAGAACAGTTGGTGGATTTGAACCTCGTGCCTTTGGGATTATACTGCAGTTTTTTATCACCAGCCACCGAAGCTCCCCTAGGAACTCTGTCTACGGTAATTCCTAAGGAATTATAGAAACTGATAAATTGGTTGAAGGGAAAGAGGAAAAGATTTGAATGAAAAATAACTCCTCAATTATTTACTTGACCAACTTGGAGAAGGAGGAGGGCTATAGGTGAAAAAGAGGAAATAAGAGTTCTGTTTTAGCCTTGTGAAATTTGAGATTACTCTCCGAGTCTTGCTGTTGTTTTAAGTCGAACCAACTCATAGTTGACCCTCAAGTAGATTTCTCAGGGGCTGTACAGCTCATGAGAGGAGATTCCCTATCTTCTTATGCAGAATAGCTGGTGGGCTTGAAGTGCATGTTTTTGGATTACAATAGCCTATGGATGGCCAAAAGAACAAACAGATATGTCTTGGAGAAAGTGCAGCCAGATTGCTGTTTAGAGGCAGGAATGGTGAAGCTTCGTCTCACACGCTCTGAAGATGTTGTTAGGAGGGACTGTTGCTTAGAAGGGGACCTCATGCCTGGAAGGGTGGACAGTCAGTGAATAAGAGGAAGACCCTCACTGAGATGGATTGACTTAAGTATGTTAGAGATAATGAGGATGGCACAGAATGGAACAGGGTTCAGTCCCGTTCATAGGATCAGTATGAGTCATATCCCACTCAGTGTCACTGAACAATAACAAATGGAATCTTGAATCAGGAGCTCTGGTGGCATCATAGCTAAAGCATTGAGCTGACAACCAGAGAAGGTCAGTGTTCAGTACTGCTAGCTGCTCCATCAGGGAAAGAGCAGTCTGCTTCCAAAGATTTCCAGCCTTGGAAGGGCTGGAAGGCAGGGCATCTCTGTACTGAAGGGTCAGTGTGAGCCAGAAGTGACCCAGTGAAGTGCATTTTTGGTTTGGTGTCTGAGTCTTTATTCTGCAGGAAGAGAGATTAAGTGTTCAGTGAGGAGTATTGAATGCTGCAGAACTGGGGAAGGTCAGCAGAGAGAGAAAGAAATTTGGAAAAAACAAACAGAACAAAACAGCCTGTGTCCTGAGGTCCTCCCACGTTTAGCTGTCGAGCAGAGGAGAACAGGCCAGAAAGGAGACAGAAGGATGATCAGAAGACAGGAGTCCAAAACCGCAAAGAACAAATGGTTCAAGAGGAAAGAGTAATTATCAGTGACATTGCAGTGGCTGTAGAGTTGGGGACGCTTTTATGAAAAGTTTGTACAAAGATTATTTTTGTTTAAATATATATTTTCCTATTACCTCTAATATGTTGTTCTGCTTATGACGTTTTCAATTGTTCATTTAAAATTTTT